CTTCAAGGCTGCGCCTTTGCTCTTCCTCGCCCGTTTTGATTATAATTTTCCTCCCCTCTCCTAGACCACCAGCACCCTTCTGGTGAATTTAAACCGGGGGTGGGGGGCACGGAGAAACTTACCCTCCTTCCTCCTGACGTCAGAATAGTGGGAGTTAGAGGAAGGTGGGCGGGGTTTGGATGGCGATTTCTGTCCCAGACTTTAAAGAGACATGGGTTGGGAGGGCGGGGGAGAAGGGAAGAGGAAGGATGTGTCCTATTGAGTTGTTTTAATTCGCGTAGAGAAACAAAGCCTTTTCTGCGAGTATTTGCAAAATGCATAGCTGGTCAGACCCCTAGAAGGTCTGCAGGAGAAAATCCTGGGTGGAGCGGAGGCAAGCTTTGCAAAAGGGGGCCGCGTGTGCCAGGTGGCTTTCCCTGGGCCTTGAAGCTCTGGCCTGTTGCCTTAGTGTGGTGGAGGATGCTGTTCTCCCGTCCTTTCTTCTGCAGTGAGGTTCATCTCCAGTCTGGTTGAATGAGTACCCGAGCCTATGTGGATTTGGAGGGGCAGGGGATTAGCTTTGCCTTAAGCAACAAAATACCTTGGGTTGAGTCTGGCTGATGGAGTCCCAGGCAAATCAGGGAGAGCAAATACACCCAGTATATGCCAGCAGAGTCCATGTCTTGCGAATATTTCTTATTGGGTGGGGGAGCAGAGGCGGCTCTCTTGGCATTCTTTAATAGTTGTATAGAAGAGAAGATGACTTTATTAGGAACTGCATATAAAGGTAAGAACCACCCAGTTGCTGAAATTGCCTTTCCTGCACAACTTTTAAGAAGGCATGTGGATTTTGCACTCCTTTGTGGTTGGTCAATAGGCAGGCCCAATTCCAACCATGTCTGCTTATTATTTCTATATTAAGAATTCTTTCTTGCTACAATTCTACATGTTCAGTGTAGCGTAAGCAAAATAATAATGCCCCCAAAGCTATCCTGTGGCTCTGTTTGCCCAACACACTAACAAATGTGGTTAACAAGTACCTGCTAAAAAATGAAGTCTGCAATTCTATTCTCACTTATTGGGGATGAGGCCCTTCTAAAATTAGAATTTCACATGTAATTGCCTATCTAAACCCGTATGATTTTCTGCAGTCTTCCCCAGTCTGACCTCTTATAGGACATTCCAGGTTTGTTGGGACTGTAATTTGTATCACTCCATGTTAGCTGGATGATACTTGCAATCTGTTGTAGAGTACCAAGTTAAAGGAGCCTGGCTAGCTTGGCAGCAGTTATTTGGCTAATAGGGCAATTCTTTTTTACTGCCTTATCTTTTTCAGGGATGGGCAATTTTATTTTTTTTTTTGGCCTGGTCAGTCAAGACTAATGATGTGGTAACCTTTGCAGGGGGTGATACCAAACTTTTTCAGCCTATTTTTTTTTCCTTTTCTTAGGAGCTTCAGGAGGGAGCAGTTAAAGTACAAAATAAGTATGTGATTAAACCTTGCAGAAACTTAGTGGACCTATAGCACTTTGTATTTGCATATCACACACACACTTACCCCCAAAGTAGGAAAAGGTTTAGAAAATCATCAGTTTTGCCACTGAAGTTGTTAGGTAATTCTGGGTGATCTGGGAAGAACAAATGGGTACAAAACTACATGTAACCCAAGCGCTGCAAATTCCCCATCCCTCTTAAATAGAGATACTAGTGAAGTTAGGTTTTTCTGCATGCAAAGCATGTGTTTGTTATGGCCCCTACAGATAAAGAGGGAAAGAACTGTGGGAACTCTTCTAGTTGGTCACTGAGGCATTCAAACTGCAGGAATATTATCAAGACTGGAATTTTAAAATCCCATGTGGGGTCACTTTTCTATTATCTTAGAAGGACAAACTGTTTTCTGAATAAAACTGATGATCTCCCAGACTTCAGCACATCTAGACAATTGTTTGTACATAGCAGTGGTTTTTTTCACATCTGTTATTAAAATTTCTCTCAGTGTGGCTTTAGCTAGAGAAGATTGCTAGGCTCCGCATACACAAAAGGAGGCTACTCTGTGTGCCACGATGCTTGCATTCACAACAGATTGTATCTGAGACTTGAATATAAATACCTTCTACTGAAGGAGGGGAGATTTTATACCAGTGGACAGAATCTCAACCAAAAGAAATCAAGCAGTCTATCCTTTTGTGTGGCTGAGGATTTGCTTCCTCTTTCTCTTCACTCCCATATTTTTATTCATAATAATTGAGAATTATGTATCAACCATATGAGGATTCAAAGTCTCCCCACCAAGATATAATCAACAGATCTCATATTTGTTATAAACTTGAACAAAACTAATGATTATTTCATTGTTGGAATTTAAATATGTTATGTGGCTTGGTCCAAATAGCATCCATTCCTACCTAAACTTAGAGTGAGGAGTAGAGGAGTGAGAAGGATAGCTTACTTGTACATTAGGGTTGAATGTACTCAGAAGAAAAAGTAATTTTTTGTTCAAAAAGGTTATTTAAATATTGCATAAACAAATATGAATGCTCATAGAAATCTATGCATTGTAACAAAATAAGTTGCTACCCTGTCATCTTTTATCCAGAGTAACGTGGAAAATCTTATTTACTGATGGTGTTATTAGTAGAACCCCAAGGACTCCACAGTTCAACCCTGAGCTACATATATTCTCTTCTATTGGTACAAAAGAAAAATACAAATGCATGCCGCAGCATTAAAATATCAAGACAACCTCAAAATCAATAATCATAGTAGTTAAAAAAAGGTGGGGAAGTGGCACAAAATAATTTTTAAAACTTGTACCAAGTTGCTTGTTCCTTGTTCTACTCCTAAAGGGTTCCTATACTGGCTAACAGTGAAAAATAATGAAAACATATAAGATAAATATAAAACTATGTTAAAATATTAGAAAAACAAAATAAAATTTAAAAGAAAGCCAGATTTAAATGAGATTAAACAGATTTAAAAGAGATATCTAAAAGGTTTGGGCAAATAAATAGGTTTTCATCATGTGTAACTGTGAATGGGATAGGCATGGGGGGGGGGGTCGTTCTCAGAAATGTATGGACCTGGGTTTCAAGTGTGGCACCAGCCACAACCTAATAGAGACAGTAGATTGGCTATAGCCATCTGGGAGACTCTTGTGGGTTTCAGAGACACAGCTCTACAGTTACCCAGATGTGAGACCCTGCTTGTGAAGATGGGATCAAAGGCTACTACTGGTACTAGCCTCCATGCTATGTAGGAAATTCCCCCATTCAGTCGCTTAACTCTGTGGCCAGGTTGGCAGTGGAGTTTCCCAGGCTTATGGTGCTTCAGCCTGCCTTCCCTGAGTATGGAGTCTGAGGTAGCTCAGCAGCTGATGACCACCATGGCAACCATGGGCCATGATTCAGATCACTGAGAGCTTGACACAGAGCAGAGATCACACTTGAGATCTGTTTTTTGTCTCAGAGCAGTGGCAACATGATCTGGATGGGGGGGGGGATGTTAACAATCCCTTGCCGTAGTCAGATCATTCTTAGACTGCTTTGGAGGTCTCCACAGCTGACCCCACCTTCACCCCAGGGAGGTAGGACTCAGGTCCTGGACCCTATTGGATTTCAAAGGGAGCTTGGGGTCTTCCTGAGGCTTTTGTGTGGACTTTAACTGAGGTCTTAGCCTTGATTTGGAATGAAAGAGTGAAGACAGCCTTGGATTGAACAGTCTCTCCCTACTCATGGATCCCAAGGAGCCTCCTGATTTTCAGAGGAATTCTAGGAAATAAAATGGCAGAAAAATGCCTAGAATGCTGCTGGATGAAGATTTATTTATTTATTTATTTATTTATTTATTTATTTATTTATTTATTTATTTATTTATTTATTTAATGGATTTGTAT